GGACCGGGTCCAACAGGGCATTTCCTCTGGTGAGACTGTGCACCTCCTGGGTTAAGTGGAGGTCCTGTATCTCAGCCAGGAACCTCCTGGAACGGTCTGACCTGGCTGACTGTTCCTCCCAGCAGATGTCATAGGTGATTTAAATTACCCAGACAACTACATCCCTTTATCTTAAGTGCCTGTGCAAGTTGGCCCAAAAATTCCCGGTCCAGCTCCTCCCCTTGGTTGTGGGGTCTGTAGTAGACCCCCACCATTAAATCCTTCTCCCCACAGCCCCCTTTTATCTTGACCCAGAGCACTTGCCCCTCCTCTGACCCCATTTTGCTGGCAGAGGATGTGTATTGCTCGTTGACACAGAGCGCCACACCCCGGCCTTTCCTTCCTTCTCTATCCCACCTGTAAAGCCTATAGCCCCTAATGCTAACTGCCCAGTCATGGGATGAATCCCACCATGTTTCTGTAAGCCCTATTATGTTTGGGTCTGAACGGGCTATTCTGAGGGCGAGTTCCTCTTGTTTGTTCCCCATACTACGAGCATTAGTATATAGGCTTTTAAGGCCTTGCCTAGCTGCATGTGCCACCCCCTGATTTGGGAGACTGTCTGGACCCCTGTTTCTTACCTGGGCACTCCTTGCATTTGTCACCTGTCTTGCTCGGCTGGCGTCTCCTCATCTTCCTGTGGCCCCCTCCCATGAGGTACCTGTGTTCCATGCTGTATCTGTATCCCATTCACCATCTCGGGGGCGGGCAAGGTCTGGCCCGTGGACCAGATTGGGCCCACGGCGGACTGTTTCCCAGCAGCCCCTGCCCACATCGCTGCGTCCAGTTTTCATGGAGACCCTGGGAGTCATGAAGCCATGACAGTGTAGGGCCAGGGTTTCCACGGAGACTGGCCCCAGCAGTGCTTGCAGGGCAAGGAGCTGCTTTGGGCTGGGATCTTGCAGTGGAGACAACATGGTCCAGAGCTGGGGCAGAGCTGTGATCTGCTGCCCACACGCCCCGGGTAGGCTCATTGAGGAATCGGTCATTCTCATTCAGTATGCCTTGGCCAGGGGGGACTCTCAGGTGCTTCATTTTCCACAGTGGACTAACGGATCAGTGTAGGCAGTTACATGAACCGAGCCCTTTGCCTGACAGTTTCTCCATAAGGTGTTACAGGAGGACTTATTCTCCTCCACAGCCTCTGCTGTCTTGGGATCTGGTTTGCAAAGTAACTTAGGCTGCGTCTCCGGTCTTTATTTCAAAATTTTCCCCCTCACAATGATGAGGCTTGGAAATAAAACCTCTCCACTTCTTGTAACCATCTGATCACTCAAACAGCTGGTGTCCTTTCGAAGGAGAAGGGGCCAAGGTTGTGTTGCAGTTCCCTCTGCCTGTTTTGTAATCAAATGTGCATGTTTCCTGCCAGCTGAGCGAGCCTTGGACACCATGAATTTTGAAGTCATCAAAGGTCGCCCAATTCGAATCATGTGGTCCCAGCGAGACCCGGGTCTCAGGAAATCGGGGGTTGGGAACGTCTTTATCAAGAATCTGGATGACTCCATTGACAACAAAGCCTTATACGACACATTCTCAGCCTTTGGGAATATCCTTTCTTGCAAGGTAGGAACTTTTTTACTCAGTGCAAGAATGGGATTTATCACAGGACTTGCCTGGGACTAGTTGCCAGGAATAGTTAACAGGTTGAAGTCTGAATTCTGTTTGTATCACTTCTAGTCGTATTTCCTTTTTGTTGGTACCTGCTGAATTAATGGAACTCAGTGCTGCCCAGAAGCTGAGCCTGTGACCCAGACTCCCACCACCCCACTGGGTAGCATGTCATGAGCCTGCAAGTCTAGATACTATTGCTTGGGTAAAACAAGATACCAATGGGGTCGATGTTCCCTGAGGGTGAAGTTGCGGTGGGCTTTGGGGGGAATTCTGCCTAGGCTAAGGGATGGGAGGATCCTTGCTTATGTAGGGCTCTTGGGCTCTGCTTTTTGTGCTTGGTTGGTAGGTGGTTTGTGATGAAAATGGATCACGTGGTTACGGCTTTGTTCACTTTGAGACTCACGAGGCAGCAAATCGGGCCATTGAAACCATGAACGGGATGCTGCTCAATGACCGCAAGGTGTAAGTGGGGAAAGAGCTTCCTTGGGTGATGCTTTGGTAGCCCTCTCTGCCTAGCCTTTATGTGCTAGCTAAATGCCTGCTTAGCCTGACTCCTTCAGTGCACAGTCAGCATTTTAATGGGAGACTGCTTCCTGTTCAGGCTATTTCTTCCCTTTTATTTGTTTCCCATCCTCTTATTCCCTCCGCCCCACCCCTCTTTTCTTTTCTTTCATTCCTTCCTTCAGCAGCGGTCAGCTCCTACATATGTTATACCCTCCAAAATGAGTATCATTTAAGTAGTTGATGCTGACGTAAGTGTCATTGTTGGGGATTACAGTTATATGGATGATCCTTGCGAGGTTGCAACACAAAGGGAGCCTGGTACAAACATGAGCTGAGTGTGTCCTATTATGTATCTCTCCCTGGTTCCTCACTGGACCTGACTGCCTGAAATTCTGCAGATAATTGGGGTAGGGGCAAAGGAGGGGGTAGGGTTTAGACTTCTCCTGTCCTGAGCTGGTCCTCTCCTCCTAGGACACACCATAGCATTCTGGCACCTAGTGAGCTTTCCCTCCCTCAGTCTCTGGTATTAATCTGCAGTAATACCACTGCAGCTTTGCAGCAGTGGTGTTAAGGCAAGTGGACCCAAAGTTTGAGTTGGGGAAGAGAACAAATGATGTAATTTGTCTAGGATCAATTTGAGAATGAGATTCCCCAGCAGTGTTTGGGCCCTTGGACTGTCAGCTCTGTTGGGCAGGGAGCGCTGGGTGCTGCCACTATGCGAGTGGTCAGGAACAATATCCAGTTTCTGCGAGGAGATGGACACATGCAAGGAGGGTCTATTCAAATTGCTGAGCTGCCACACAGACTGGACCTATGGGCAATCAAGCTACCTTTAGGAGGAACTCTGCTAGCCTCATTTCCAGGGGACATACCTGTCTCTCTTTCTTGTCCAGTGCAGGTATGTCATCATTACAAGAGGGTTCATGTTTCTCTGTTTCTTCTCTGCAGCTTTGTTGGTCACTTTAAGTCCCGCAAAGAGCGTGAGGCTGAATTTGGGGCTAGAGCAATGGAATTTACCAATGTTTATATAAAAAATTTTGGAGATGACATGGATGACGACAAGCTGCGGGAAGTATTCTCCAGGTTTGGTGAGTGAAGTGTCAAATGCAAAATCTTTCTAGTGGAAGGGTTGGCAATGTTTTTAGGCTGAGTGCCAAAAAACTCTGCATCCTGGACTTACGGGATGTTGGCGTGCCAGGGGTGGATGGTGGGGAAGCTGTGAGGGGCCTAATCCTTGTTGTGGCAACACAGCCCCAGCTTCTTCCCCTGTGCTCCCCAAGGTGTGCTTGCAGCCTCATGGTTACCTGCTATAAGCAGCCCCTATGGAAGGGGAGAGAGATGCGCACACACTTGCTCCCTGCCATATCGTCGATTTAAAAGGTCTGGAGGGGACTTGTGGTGCCCACAGCAGCAGCTAGGCAGCTGCTGGGGCATCCTGGATGGCTGGAGGAGTCTTCCCTGGGGGTTTCTGCTTGGCAGGGTGGTGCCACTGTGGCGGCAGTGCCTCTCTCGGTACCTGCTGCTCATGGTGCGCAGGTCTGTGGGTACACGCTGCCTCTGGAGCTCCCAGAGGCACGGCACTCCCAGGCAGGAGGCCAACCCCCACCAGGCAGCTGCAATAGACTGGGCAGGATGGTGAGTGGCTGCTACCTGCCCCTTCCCTCCTGGCCATCTCCTGGCTGCATCCTGCTTTACTGGCAGCTTCTGGTTTCACTCTGAGGGTGTTGAGAGAGCCCCGGGGTAGGCAGCTGGGATAAAAAGGGTGCAGGTGAGTCAGTGAGGTGGCAGCAGTACGGTGGTGATGCAACACCTGGGTGAGCAGTGTTGGGGGGTGGGCATGGCCGGTGGATCCCAGCGGGCAGTGGGGAGCGCAGCAGCATGCAGTCCAGGTTCTGTGCATATGGGGGGTTAGGGGGAAGGCAGGTGCTTACCATAGGACATGGTCTGCAGGGGCAGGTGCGGGGAGCTGGCAGCCCCTGGTAGCCCATGGCTCCCTCCCATGGGGCAGCTGGCCTGCGTGTCGCTTCACAGTGACGGTGGAGTTGCGTCAGGTGAGCGCTTCAGTGGCTGCTCGTGGCGGGGCTTGTTCTGCCTGGCTCGGCAGTGCCTGACCCTTCCCATGGGACTCCCAGCCATCTGTGCTGCTTCTTTTTGCTTTTTGGCCTGGGCAGAGATGCAGGTGGCTTCACAGCATGGCCCCTGACCCCGGGGGCAGCAGGTGTGGAAGTAGCCAGCCCCATGGTCTCTGCAGCTGG